GAAAATATTAATTTAAAATATAGTCAAAACATTTTGGTTTTTTTTTCCTGTTAGTGGCAGTGCCAAGTGTGTCAGTGAGGTGGTCAGTCATTTATATAGATGATAACAAGCTTAATTGTTAAGCTTCTCCATCCCTCTTCGTAATTTTCTGCTCTATAGGCCTAGTTCACTAAAAGGGTAACTGTATTCTACACTAACTCAGCTAGACCACCCTGATTTAAAAATGGAATAATACTATAATGAATGCAAATATTTATGTAAAAAAGCTGAATGTAATATGGGCTTCATTCATTTAAAACTCTATACTTAGACTGCTTTGAAAAAAACCTGTTCTTCCGTAATATCTGAAGCCAGTTTTCTGGTTTAATCTTAGTTACTCAGAGACCAAAGGTGAAGTCTACTTCTCCTTACCTTGCAAGCCAAGGAACAGTGGAGGGTAAATATGATATTTTCATTTTTTTCTTTTCCCCTGCCACCACTTGACATAATTTTCCTCTGCTTTGAGCAATACCTGGGTTTGTTAATGCACTTCGGCTTGCAAAAGCATTTGCCATACTAATGACATGACTCTGATGTTTAACCTATGCTTTTTCCACTACATGAAAAATCACTTTTTTCAGGGACAACTTGCAAAAACAATTTGTCATGCAATGCGTGTGTGTCTCTAGGTGCAGGTGTTTGGGGTTTTTTTGCAAATTCTTTCCAGAATGAAATATTCCCATATGTTAGAATTATAATTTTAATTCCTCTTAGTCTTGCTGTTGATGTGGTATAGGTGTCTCATTATATTTCTTAAAGGACATCAGTTATTTTTTCCTTCTTCATTTCACTAACTGGAGCACTGAAGTTCAAGTGTGATGAATAGACATGTTACTCACTGGCTTAGAGACTAACCTAAAGGAAGAATGAGAATTTGCAGATGTCATGGGGAATGGTGAAGCCTTTCTTGGGAATGGGGAGGCATATGTATAGTCTGTTCTTTGTAAAAATAATAACAATGACAACAACAGTAAGAAAATACCATTTTGCTAAAATTATTGAACTTCTCAGGAGAGTTGGAGTTATGACTGAATATCGCTAGGATAACGTGCAGTTTAGTCATTCATGCTGGAATAAGAAAGTGTTTAGTATTTGTAGTTGGTTGTGTTTGAGAGGTATCCACCACCTGTCATCTTAAATTGTGAATCCAAAGGTGAGTCTCTTGGCTCCCATGTTACCTCTACAACGACTCTTTTATGAGCATCTTTCAAGGAAATGTAAGGAGTGCTTTGGTGAAGTAGGCATTTAGCCATTTTTCTGCTGATGGAGACCCATTTAGCTGCTGAGTTTCTGAGAGTATTGTGTTAGTTTCAACCACGGCAAGGTGGTTGCCTGCTGACTTGGTCACTGAGTCACAAGATACTGCCAGGAGAAGAGACGTATTGCCCTAAATACAGACCTTTGGGATGTTGTGAACTGGCACTGCTTGTACTGCCGTGACAAAAAGACTGTGGGTATCTAAAGATCGTTTCCGTGTCTGATTGTAGCAAGCCAGAGACCAGAGCTGGAATTTACCTCGTCTGCTTCACCGGAAACCACAAGGACCGCGATGGGTAAATAGCCAGTGGTTCCCTTCCTGTGTTGATTACTTTGGCAACGGTTTTCTCTGCAGCGGTGAGCCTGTTCAGGTGCTTTGATGTCCTGAAAGTGGGTCAAGGATGCAGTTGGTCCCCTATGGCTCCTTATTAGAAATTGCTCCACTTGTAAGCTTTCTGATGCCTCTTTTGGGTTTCCACTTCTCAGTTTCCTCTGTTGCCCTGGGCTACCTATGCCAGTTGAAAGATAGCATCGTGCTGCTGTGGGGAGTGATGCTGTGACATGGAAGCCTGGCCCAAGCGGGGCCGTGCCTCCTTATTTATAACTGTGTCTTGATACCACCCATGTGACAGCAGCCTGTCTGAGGACCTGAAGGTGGTTTTTGTGTTTGATCTTAGCTACTCGAAGACCAAGGGTGAAGTCCACCACTCCTTCCTCCCTGGCAACTCGGAAAACCGTGATGGGTAACCTTCTTTTTCCGTTTTCCCCTTTTGCTCCCCATCACACCTCTCACCTCAAACCACCTGGTATCCTTGTCATCTTCCATGGAGTGTGTGGAGACTTGTTGGTGCAGCTTGGCTTGCCGAAGCACTCACCAGCACTTGTTCTGCAATTCTGTTGTCTGATCCCATGCTTTTTCCATTGCTGACAAGCATTTTCTGTGGGGACTGAGGGACAGCTTGCGTAGAGAACATATAATTGCATCTTGCTTTCAGCTGCCGTTCTCCTGCTTCTTTGTGTTTTGGTAGCGGATGTTCCTTTCTCTTGACAGCCTTCCTAAGAGGCAAATCCCATCTGGCTGGCACAAGAGGACAGCACTGCTGTTCAGCTGCCCACCAGGGCTTCCTGGTCCAAGGGTGCAGCTATTGGTTGCTTCACCACTGAATTTCAGGGCGGCCAGCTGTCATCTGCCCGCACGTTTACATTGTCATTACCTGCAAGTGGGAACGCTCTGCTCTACTGCTGCTGCTTTTGAGGTCACATTAGGGTTTTAAGAACGATGCCTCTCTTCAGCTTTCGGTGCATCGCAGCATGTTTCTTGAAGGTTCAAAACACCAGCAGCCTTTGGCACCTGGCTATGCTGACAACCTCGTCTGGTAATGATATTTCTTGCAGATGTGGGTGGCAGTGCAAGATGGGAATTGTCCCAAGACATGTCGAGCTTTAGCTGAACTGTTATTTCACTTGGGCCTACGCTGGGGTAAAGCAGAAGCGTAGAGATGAAATGGCCGTACGTGAAAAGCCGTATTTACTTAAGGCATCGCATATGGCACTTGATGACAATGGGTGGAGATGCTTGTGGCAATGGCTTCTTTCAGACTGGCAAGTGTACAAGACCAGGCCTGTGGCCTGGCAGTCGTTTTTCGTGATGAACCATATTAATGTATCCATCCCACTGAGATGCAGTTGAGTTGTAGGTTCCCAGATGTGCTGGTCATCCTTTTTGGTGTTTAAGTGGTGGAAACTGATTCTGAAGTACATTTTTGTGACACTGGAGAAATCTTGTATTTTTCTCAATTGTCATGTACATCAGAATCTTTGCCAGTGATGCTGCCATTCTTGTCTGTATTAATCCTTTTATGATCATTCTATTTTCTCTTTTGCAAGAAAATGCTTTCTGTATAGCAGAAATAGTATATCTCTCCTCTGTTACATCTTTTTTTAAATAATATTTGCAAACTGAGTTTTATATGTCACATGTTATCCTGCCAGTCATAAGCAAGTCTTTGATTTTCACCTCTTTATTTTTATGTTCTTTTTCCTTATTTTTCCATCATATTGTCTGATGTCTTTGAATATTTCTTCTTATTTCTTGCAACAGCTTCCTCATCACCTGTATCACCATTACATCCTCACGTATTCATGTGAGAAAATCCATCGCATGTGCATTTGAGATATTTTCCTGTCTGAAGTCCCTAGTTCCTTAGTAATGGGTTGAAACCCGTTCAGTCTACAGGTTCAGATGATATCAAAAACGAATTTTTTGTTTTGTTTTGTTTTCCAGCTTCACTGGAGTCTCATCATATTACTTTCCCGTCCCAAACATCTGCATCTGCAGAAATATCAAAAATAGAGACTGGTAAATTGTGGGTTTGATACTTCCATAGATTAGGATTTGTTTTTGCATCAAGGATGTTATAGTTACAGGGTGTTTGCTCAGACTGCTTGGTGTTGTCTGAAACTTTATTTTGTCTGCAGTATTTGGTAGTTAGACTCTATAACTACATGATGATATTTTGTGGCATAGGATCAAATAAAAAACCCACAGGAATCAATATTCTTTTGGGTGCTTTTAATCTGCCAGATATAAGGACCACTAGCTAGATGGAATCATTATCAGTTATGAAGATTGGACATAAGGATGGTGAGGCACTAGCACAGGTTGCCCAGAGAAGCTGTGGCTGCCCCTCCCTGGCAGTGTTCAAGGCCAGGCTGGGCGGGGCTTTGAGCAGCCTGGGCTTATGAAGGGGGTTTCTGCCCATGGCAGGGGGTTTGGTCTAGATGATCTTTAAAGGTCCTTCCAACCCAAACCATTCTGTGGTTCTATGTGTTCTTGATTGGGACATTTTACCCTCTGTGCTTTTTTGTTAGTCATACTATACACAATATTTTGGAGTTTTCTCCATTACTAAGGATTTTCTTCAAGTTATGTTATTATTTCACCCTAGAACTTTTCTTACTGGGGTCGTAGCTATTCAAGATTAAATTTGTGTTCTTTGCACAGATAAGAGTGTGCAACAGATGAGAAAGAGAATCATCCTAAACCTGACAGTCAGTATTTCATCAGTATTGTGTTGCATTTTCTGCCTTACCTTCTGGGTCTTCAGTATGTCACAAAAGTTGTGTTAATTTATATTACATCATTTATATAAAATATCACCATTTAATTTAAATGACAAATTACATGATGTGTAGTATATTAAAACCTACAACTCAAAATACTGGCATGTGTTAAATTGAAACAAAGCAAAGCATTGGCAGTAGAAATACCTGGATGTAGAAATTCAAGTTAGCATTAATTTTAAGTGTGTAAGTCTCTTTCTATAGATGCAAGTGAAGTCAAAAGCACAGGTCTTTTGATGTTCTATGTGCATAGATCACTTGACTCCTGTTGATAAGTCTGCTTTTAGGGGGGACTGCAGTTTCTGTTAGGGTGTCCGTTAGATGTTTTTGACTTTTTCAAAACTTGGAGGTTTTGTTGATTTCTTTTCAAGTTGGATATCTTGTGAAACTGCATTACAGTGGTGTTGGCATCTTGCAAAGCAATGTAAAGCAATCTTATTTTTTCTGATCCCTCCCCCCCTTTTCTGCATTGTTATTGCTATATCTCTCAGGGTTATTTACGTTTTTCTGCAGTTACAAGTTCAGCTGACCTGGAAAAGTCTGTGCGTCCACTTTTCAGAACACCTCATGTGCTAACAACAATGACGGGTAACAGTAATGCATTAGCTTTTCAGTTAAACCACTTCTGGTGTTTTGATAGCAATTTTGGAAATCCTGTTCATCCCACATTTTGATCATCTGCCACACTTGTCTTCCATTTGAGTCATGTTCATCAGAGTAGACAGACAAAGTACCCCTTTTTACATGACAGCTTGCGCTTACTGCTGAGAAACTCACTGAATAGTGTTTCTGATCTTATATTTGTCTCTTAAAAAGCTACTAGGGCTACTTTGAGATATACTTTAAGTAATCTTGGTTTAATAATAATAATGCTTAAAGCTTAATAAGAATTTTAAAAGTACTTTTTTCTTTTAAGATTAATTGTTATACTCTCAGGTAAATAGATACACACATTTATATACTCTCTATTGTTTATGCCAGCGTAGTAAGCTTCTTTCTTACTATTTCTTACTGTTCAATGGGTTTTTTTTTTACTTTATTTTCCCCTTGTTTTGTATGTGTACATATGTACACAGATTATACGATGTTAAAATTCACTAACAATATCTTGACAGAAAACAAAGTACTGAAGAGAATGAAGACAGTCTTTTTTACAGAAATATATTTACAGTGTTTTTTAGCTTTGTGGGTTACATTTTTTCTGCCTTTTTTGGAGTGCTTTATGCTTATAACCATGGTGTTAGAAGTTCTTTTATCTTCACATTTTTTGTGTTGTTTTAAAACATGGACCGTGCTATCTAAAGTAATATTAACTTTGATTGGCTGAAGTTTTAGTTTTAGTTTTGATTTTAATCACATTCAGCTCCTACTCTAAACCAGCACTGCTCCATTGTCAAGGTAAGGTATGCTTATTGTGGGTGGACCTGTGCATTGCAAATTAGGTATGTTATAACCTGAAACATTTTTAGTTTGTTCATATAAACCAAAAAAAGCTATGTGTAGAATTAATAATCACAGATATTGTGACCTGTTTTTTTTATAGTTTTCAGTGGTATGCAGCCTGTTCTTTCAAGCCCTATGACACCCAGTAAAGCTGAAATAGCAGATATTGGACAAGGTACAATAATCTCTACCTAGTTCTTCAGTAGCTCAAACCGTGTTGTAAAACTCACTGAAATGAGAACATTGGCAGTCTTCACTTTCAGTGCATGTTTGAATTAGACCCCTAACACCTGAATTTTGGATTTACATTGCTGTTAATGATTGAAATTGGTGTTTTCTCACACTTACAATGCATATGACAACTCATAGTCACGTGATTCTCCTTCAGTATTTTGAAAAATGTGCCACATAGATAATTGAGAAAACAGTATTTATTGTCCAATAGTGGTGATGAAAATACTGTGGTGTGTGCTGTAGGCTGCATTCTACTGCTGTAGCCTTGTTAAAAATGTTGTGGAGAGTGTATCCTTAACAGCCTGAAACTGGTTAACAGCTACAGACGCTCAGTGCTTTTGGACTGAAACCATAGCTGGATCAGTTGTCAGCTTTCTACTTCATATTTCGTGCGGTTTTTACTGTTCGACTAATTGATTGTTCAACATGTCCTCTTCATTAAATGCCTACATTTTACACCATACTGTCTCCCTGAAGTAATGGACCAAGTCAACATGTTCAAATGCTCAGCTTAAAGTCTTACTTGGCAGTGCTTGAGATCCAGACCAGTAGCCATGAAGGCAGGAGGAAATGAACATCCAGAATTTCTGCACATCACAAATGCAATGATTTGTAGTCACCAAAGCTCTGTGCAGTTCAAAAGATTGAATTTCTCTCTCATGCATACTAAACTGTGAAGTGTCCAAGCATTAGTGAAAGACTTGTTGTTCTTGTAAAAACAAATTTGGTTTTACTTACAAAGGAAGAGTTTCTTCCATTAGCTCTTTGCTTTCTTATGACTGTCATCATTTCTTCCAACAGCAACAAGTGAATCCGTTCTGGAATCTTTCACACCCAAAACTTCTCATCCTTTTCAATGGCCAAGGGTAACATTAGGTAATGTTGTTGTTTTCACCCAGTGAAAAACTCTGTGTTTGTGTTGAGCACTTCATCCCATATGAATGCATTTCTTCGAGCATATCATTTCACATGCATAATCATTCTTTTTCCTGGTTATAGAGTCTTGTTCTTCCATTGTTATTAGACTGATTCTTCTTGATATATCTCTATATGAGAATATTGTTCAGAATGGTTTTACTGTCCTCAGAGAAGTACAACTTGCCTCTTGCATGAAAAACACCATCCTTTTATTAGACTGTTCTATCTCTCTTACTCTCATGCACATGCATATGCTGTCTTTGTATCTGATATGCAGAGCTTTCATAGTGGAAATTTTAATTGTTTCGGAGGCATAGGATCTATTTCCAATCAATGCACAGCATTTCAATGCCATCTCCATTCCACACTTTAAACTCTGATTTCATCAGACAGCTTTGACATTCCATACTAAGTTGTCTTTTCTTCAGTATAAACTTGTGGCATGTGCTGTTTGTTGTGGGAAGCCCTTGTTAAACGATTTTTCATTGCAAACTGAGCTCTTTCTTTCAGCTCCAAAAGAAATACCATTTATTCCTTCTAAACTGAAACCATCTGCTACCCCAGAAGTACAGCATGTGAAACCTGGTAATTGTGCACATCATTTTTATAAGTTGGTATGCAGAGGAATGTGTTCACTAAAAATATCTAAGCAAAACTTCCCAAAAAGGGCAGGAGCTATGCAATACATAATTGTCTTGAATAATTCATCATTCTAAAATCGGTTATTTGATTTTTGCCTAGCAAAAGAAATTTTGCCAGTCTTCATCTTGCACTTTCACACAGACATACTATGGCAAAGATGACATCTTTGCTAGTCACAACAGCTTGTTGATTGAAAGTAAAGTACTACTCATGTGATCGATAAGTCCTCCTGCAGGGAACTCAATGGAAAGGATTGCCATTTTAGTGGAAAAAGGAGACCTTTCTCAAAGTAGAAGGGGAAACTTTTGGATACAAATGGGATTCATTCTTTGACCATGGGAACATTATCATCATGTCGTGTCTTTTTTTCCTTTTCTGCTTTTTGATCAAAAAATAGATCTCTCTACTCAGTTTCTTCTGATTTGGGATTCAGGGAGATTAATTTGCCCACTTTAGTGATTAAGATACTGAACCAATAAATATTATGGTGTGCATTACTAGACCCCTAAAATGTTTCTGTTCTCATATCTTATAAACAAGCAGGTCAGTAAAAAGCAGGAGTTGCCTTTGATGTCTTATACATGTCTTACAGTTGACTGCAGGCTCTGATGTAAGATTTTCAGCAAGGTTTTGGCATTTAGAAGTTTACTCTTTGGTGTAGATTTTCTGGTACTTGTTAAGGACTGCAGTCTTTCCTTCAGTCAAAGCTCTCATCTGTCCTTTCTCACTATCTCCCATAATATAAAAGAAAATTATTTGTTGATGGAATCAAACAATGGTTTAAAAATGTCCTGAGAACAGGAATATTGGGAAGGAGCCTTAGAAGCAGACTCACACATAGACACAAGCATACAGTGTGTAGTTTTATAGGAAACAAAACTAAAAGGAATGTAGGGTGTTATGCGTAAGAGTAGAACTTAGTTGCATGCTTATCTAGTCTACTTAAAAACAAACAAATCAACCCCCTGAACTATTGGAATGATAACGCTTTTGGCTTACTGCTGATGCATCTACTGATCTGTTCGATTACACTTGAATTTCTCTTTTCTAGCCCCTAAGCCACCACTTTTGGAGCCTAAAACTTCTCAGATTGTTGAACAACCAAAAGCAACACTAGGTAATACATGTTTCTGTAGCTCTTGGTTGCGCTTCTTTACAGTCCAAGCCACCATTTGTACTCTGTTACTTTATCTCATAGCTTGTACTATATTTAATCCATTTCTCCAAGGGAGGAAAAAAGTTAGGAAATAAGGATTCAGAAATATGTTTTTCTAAACTTAGGAGAAAAAGAAACGAGATTTTGTCATACCGTTTTACTAGTTCTATAGTACAGTAAAATTTTGGGGATCAGAATTCTCTTCCATTTTGTTGGGAGTTTTTCTGCACCAACACAGTTTACCCTCAGAAAAACATCAGAAACCTGTTGGCAATACAATTGAAAGGCCAAGCGCAAGGTTAATATTATGGATGTTAATCCTAGAACTCTCAGTGAACGATTCCTGTGGCACTAGGTGGACATGTTAATTCTACTGTTCTTTTATGAATCCTACTGAATGTCATTTTGGCTTGAAAAACATTTCTCGGTCATTTCATATGTCTTATTCTACTCTGTTCTTTCTATAAATGTCATATGCTTTTCCACTGTGTCTATTGCTGTGAAACTTTTTCTTGGAAAGCAGTCTCATAGCACTGCTTTATAAAAATGAACAAAATTATTGACTGTACTACCCAAAATTCACATTAAGCTTTATCTGATGTCAGATTAAAAGTCATATTTATCTAATTACAGTTTCAGCACATGCATGTTCAGGGGGAAAAAAGTTTCTAGGACTGCCTGCTCTTAATTTTTACCATTTCGGTGATGCTATTTCTATTTATTAACAGAATTCAATGACTACAGTTATGAGGCGATTCCATTTTTTATTACTGATTCCGTGTTTTTCCAGATCCCTACTGGTAATTTTTTTACAGTATTGAAAATCAAGGACATATTTGCACATTTTATCCATGCGTCTTTTGATGGCTTAAAATCAACCTGGAGTTCAAAAAAATAAACAGCAATATTATTTTACCTCTTAGGTATCTTGCAAAAATGAATTTGCTAACTTAATGAGAGGAGCATTTTGATGTTATTTGAAGATACAATTACATATTTTAAATTTAATTACTGACTTTTACAGTGAAGAACAAGCAGGGATTTTGCCGAGGTAGTGAAGTCCGAGGAAGATTTTTGAGAAGCTTTCTTAGCAAATCTGATTTTGCTGTTTGCTTTTGTTCCCAGTAGCTGTTTGTTGCTGCATTTCAGGCTTAAAGAATGTGATTTTTTTTAATGTAATATAGTGGAAAGGATA